CACACACACACACACACACACACACACACACACACACACACACACACTTCTTTATTAGTCAGTCACTTCCTGTCTGTGTGTCAACACATTTTTTATTTTAACTAATAAAACTTTTAAACTCAGTCTAAAATCTGCCTGATTAACTCTTTAATGTTGTGACTTAAATCGATGATGAAGAAGAAAACTAGATTTTTTTTATTAAAACTTAAATGTTTAAATAAATGTATCAAAACAAGTATTTGATCTTTAAATCCTCAGCTGATAGTTTTCATAAAAAAATAAATGATTAAGGAGTTAAATATTTCAGTCAGTTAATCTAAATAAAATACTTATGATATTGTAGAACTTACACTGTTGTACGTTAAACGTTTAAGTTTAATTTTAACAGCAAAAGATGATTTTCAGTTCAATTAACTTTTTAAGTGCAGCTCTTTTTTTTTTTTTTTTTTAAATCAGACGCTCTTTGCTTCTCGTTTGTTTCAGTTTCTTTAGAAAATGAAAACACCTTTAAGTTTATCAAACTTCCTGTTCGACCCGTGGCCTGCAGGACTCCGCTCACGGTTCACAGTGGATACATTAAGAATAGTTTGTTTTTTAAACTATATTTTTAAGTGATAAATTAATAGATGATCAATCCTACCCTGCTGTTAGCGCCTCCTCCCTACCTGGTTTGTTTTTCTGTTCCTGTGAGAGTAGTTTGTTTGCATCTAGCTGGAAACATGGATGAAGGTAAACACACACCTGCTACACCAAGACAAAAGCACCTTTATTTACTTAATTTCCCTCCTCTCATCTCCACACCTTCACAAACAGAAGAGTTCTGCGGTCAGAAGATGAAATTAAAAATGTGGGATCACCTGGCAGATCCTGTCGATGTTCTCCTCTGTGGGCATCAGAAAGTAAACAGCAGGAACATCTGGAATAGGATCTCTGTCAGAGTGAAGGAGCCTGCAGGAACACGGACGGCTCATTAAGATGCTTCAACAACCTCAAACAGACAAGGCAGGTATTACTCAAAGAATCAACAAATAAAACTTGTTTTTTTAATCCAAAAAGTTTTATTATTCTTTAGTCTGGTATTTATTTGTTGAATATTGAGCTACAGTTTGGTTTGGTAGTAGATGAGAGTCATTGTTAACACGTAATCTAAGAGCTGATAGATCACACGAGATCAGGTTTGACCAAAGTGGCTACAATCGTCTCTTCTCAGCAAAAGGTTTTAGTTTAAACTAAGGAATGAAAGGTGATGGGCGATATGCATTCATCAAAATAATTTAAAAGTCAAAGTTTCTTTATTTGTCATTCGCACCACATGTGGTTCGTGTAGTGGAACGAAATTTTGCACACAGGGTCTCAAAGGCTTAAAGGATTTCTGCAGCAATTTTTATTTTCCACCTTCTCGCTCACTGAAAAATGTTTAGGTCTAATAAATGAAAAGTCCAGCAAGCCTTTTGAGCACAGACAAGTTTGGATAAATATTTTTTAACTAATAAAATCCAACTGTTGGCTCCCAGCGTGTACGCCTAGCGTAGCAGAAACAAAACCTCGCAGCAGTAAACATGCACGTCTTACAGGTGCAGCGTGATGCCCATGTCTCGCAGCTCTTTGACAGACAGCAGGGGGGAGATGATGTCCTGACCAAACCGGTCGTAAATCAACACCTGAAGTAAACAGAAACACGCCTCTCACAGTCAATATGTGCTCAGACAGATAAGAGAATTCAGCTGTGTGTTCGTCTGAAAACAAGCATTTCACTAGATTAACTAATTAACTAGGAAAATAAACCTGAGAACATTTAACAAATTTTCATAAAAAAGCAGATTTTATATGGAAATCAAAACATGTAATTTGGTTTGAGTCAAAATCCACTTTCCATCAAACAGGAAAAAAAAAAAAAAAACAGTTTGAACCCCATTTTCTCAGCATAGTCAGAGTAAAAGTGGTGTGTAAAAGTAACAATCCTGCCTTTGTTTCATTGTGCGGCCATTTTTGTGACTTCAATCTGATCATGCAGGGAGGCGTGTTAAAAAGAGTGACGAGGTGCATCCGCAGGTGTCAAGTTTTACCTTCCATACGGGCTCGGCTGATGAGTTTTTCAAAGGAGGAGTGTTGAAGTTCAGCATGCGCTTTAACGCCACTGCAGAAACAAAAAAAGAAATATTATGAAGACAAAATGTTCAGCTCATTTTGCAGATTCCTTTGCTAGTTTGCTAATGTTTTTGTCTATTGTTTAGCAATTTATAACCATCTGATGTTTTGCCATTTTAGCTTTGCTATTGCTCATTTTAGCTACATTTGCTATTGTTTAGCCAGAGTTTTGCTAACCTTTTAGGCACTAGTTTACAAACTTTAGCAAAAGTTTAGCTAATTTTAGCTTTAGCTAGTTTTACCTTTTAGTTACAGTTTTGCTCAATTTAAGGTTTTAATTCATTTTAAGCTAGTTTAGCCAATTTTAGCTAAATTTGATATTTTGCTCATTTAAGCAAAGTTTTACGTTTTAAGTTTTGGGCAGCAGTTTTGCGGATTTGATTTTTTTAGCTACTATTTTGCTACATGTCTATTTTTTTTAGCTGTGGTTTTGCAAATTCTGACTATGTTTTGTTTTGCCATTTAGCCTTTAGTTACAGTTTTGCTAGTTTTAGCCAAATCTATCTCTTAGGTTTTGAAGATTTTTAGCTGTATTCATATATTTTTTAATCACGTTAACTACATTTGGCCAATTTTATTGTTAAGCTGCAGATTTGCTAATTTGATCTTTTAGCTGCTGTTTAATGTTAGCTTATATTTCAGATTAAGTTTAAAAGATTTGCACGTTTTCAGAACACAAATTATAAGAAAATAATTTACACAATAATGTATTTTAAAGGTTTTAGTTAAATATTTGTTAAATTATCCGACACACTGCAGCCTGTGGGTAAAACCGATGATTAAACTAAAGATTAACCGTTAGCAGCAGGCTAATCTCACTTAGCTCGTTCCTCTACTCCGGAACAACCAGTATGAACAGATATTACCTGCTCTGTTTACTGTTAACATCACAAAGTGTTTCAACCAACAACTTACTTAAGGAGTTTGGTTGTAGAGGTTCAACGTCAACTGAACCCGGACAGCTAGCTTGTGTAGCTGGCGGGTTGTTAGCCGGTTAGCGGCTTAATACGGTTAAATAAACAACCTTGGTCAGACCCGGGTTCGATAAGGCCTTGAGGCGTTCATTACAGCTGCTTTCTGCCACTGACAATTACCTTTACGGAAGAAAATCTGTTATTTTCACTCACCTGTCTGCTTCTCTCGGACAGAGGCCGCCATGTTTTATGTTGATGGTGATGACGAGACGACTGACGTGGCAGCTGCCCATTCAAAGAGCAGTGACAGTGAAGAGGTCTCACTCTGACGATTTTTCTGTGCACTAACTGATGATGAAGAGGCTGTTTGTTTATTTGTCTTGTGCAGGTTAACACAAGGTCAACATTGCAATGAAATGTTCAGGATGAGAAGAACCGATTTGATTCACGAAAACACAAGACATACTAAAGTATGCAATAACAGATACTATTTCTTAACATGTGACTCTTGGCCTGTCATTGTGTATCTGTTCCTCTCAAACCCAGCCGGTCGAAGCAGATGGCCGCTTGTCCTGAGCCTGGTTCTGCTAAAGGTTTCTTCCTCATGAGGGAGTTTTTCCTTTCCACTGTTGCCTTCATGCTTGATCAAGATGATAGTTCTGCACTGGCGTTAACTTCAAAGCAGTCTGCTCCTCAGTGTTAACTTATTATATTGTATATATAAATGTTTCTATTCAGTGCTCTGAGACGACTTCCGTTGTGACTTGATGCTACATAAATAACCGAATTGAAATTGAACTGAATCAAAAGTACAAAATAAAGTACCAAAAAGTGAAAAAGAAATATATTTACAAAGTTCAAAAGAAATATAGAAAATAACAGCATGGTGGACTTGGTGCAAGTAGGATGAATTAGTATAAATAAATATTTCAGGTAGCTTAAATGGGCATGATATATATTGCAAATAGATAACATTTACTACAGGGGTTGTGTGACAGGTTATTGCACAGGTATGAAGTAACATTATTGAGATAAATGAATTGTGATGGTGTGATGAAGATCTCACTTCTTCGCTTTTAAGTAATAAGCACACGATGAAGAGGTCTCACTCTGTTGGTTTTTTTGACCACTAAACTCATCATGAAGAGGTCTCACTCTGTCGCATTTTCTGTACACTAACTGATAATGAAGAGGTCTCACTCTGTCGCATTTTCTGTACACTAACTGATAATGAAGAGGTCTCACTCTGTCGCATTTTCTGTACACTAACTGATAATGAAGAGGTCTCACTCCGTCGCATTTTCTGTACACTAACTGATAACTGTTTTTCATATACTAGCTGGATCGAGGTCTCACGCTGTCTTTTTTTTTGTACACTGGCTGGTTTATAGAGGTCTCACTTTGTCACTTTATCAAAAAAACTATAATTATTTTACTGTAATTTTTAGGCCTACAACTGATTAAATTTAGGATTCAACCCAATTTAAGATGGCCATAGCTGACCTTAAAAAAACCATAAATGGCAATATTTCAGTTAATTTTACTGACATTGAGCTAAAATATGTTGTGGTAGTAGCTGAGAGTAATCCTCAACCATCTGAATGCTACTCATTCTGTGAAATGACTCTTGTAAATGAGTCCTCGACGCTCAGTGGGATTAACCTGTCTAAATAAAGGTTGAATGAAAAAAAAAAAGTGTAAAACTTTAGCATAACCTGCTGGAGTCAAATCCCTGGATCTTAATGTGACATCACAACATTTACAAAGGTTTGACAAAAACAAGAATTCCTTTATTTCTCCGCAGAACATGAACTTTGTTTAAATCTCTGACATGGAAGGAGGACTTGTTATATCTCAATATGATCACAATTTATTCTCTTTTTTTTTCTTGTTTCCACCAGTTCGGCTTCATCGGTTGTCACACCATCTTAAAGTCGTCTCACATTTCTCCCACTCTGACTCACGGAAACTGAGGAAAATTCGAAACTCCGAGACTATTTTGGGAAACATTTCTCAAAAATTCTCACAACACCCTGCAACTCAGAGGAAACTGAAAACCTTTGGCAAATTTTTGAGACGTTTCGGAAAGTCCCGCACAAAACTCCTTCGCAATTTGTCTCCATTAGACGCAGCCAGGTGACATTCAAACTGACCTTGAAATAAAACAGTACAAAGAAAATCACCTGTTAATATTTCACCTGCAGGAAGGACAATAAGTGCTTGTTTGGGTAGCTAAATGTGGGGGTACAAGATCTACACTAAACTAAATATGGGTAATTATATTTATATATTGATAGGAAAATTTAACTAGGGGTAAGAACTAATAAAATCATTTGCCTCCTCCTGCTCCTTAACAGAACTAGATCTTTCTTGTTTGTTGTTGTATTTGTTCTTTTTGCCGTTTCTATTTTATTATATAGCCACGGTATCTGTGACATTATTATAATGCTTTTCTCATGTTTCATGTCCATTTGTTTAGTTTTGTTCAACAAACTCTAAACACATTTAATTTCACCAAAACTTGTTTTCTTGTGAGAAAGTTTAAAAAAAATAAAATAAAAAAAAAAATAAATATATATTCTTTGAACTGATAAGTGCTGAAAACATTTGGCTCTGATCAACAAATTCCTGTTCTGGATCATCTCCATGTTTTAAGACGAAAACACCAGGTCAGCGCGTTCTTAGTTTCTGAACAATCGAACTTTTTCAACGTTCACAGCAAGTTACAAAACACTTAGGATTACTGGTAAAACATAAAAAAACCATTATACGTATAAAGATATGTGTTCACTACAGACTGACTTATACGCTGCTAATTCCACAAATGTTGCAACGACTGCAAATCTCAAACTAATGTTTTATCAGAATGAAAAATAATAAGCATATCAAATGTTTAAACTAAGAAAATAACTTTAAAAATAAAAGGTAATTTTAAATGTTGATGGTAACAACACATTTTAAATGGACTGAGGTGAAGTGGAGAACTGCTGAGGCCAGGCGGGTCCAAATCTGAAGTTCTGTTTATAAACCATGGACCCTCCGTACTGAAGAGGAGACGGACCATTCGGCCTGGTATCAGCTCACAGGTCAAACAGCTGCCTCTCCGATGGTATGGGGGTGCATTAGTGCGTCTTAACATGAGCAGCTGACACATCTGGAAAGACTCCATTAATGTAGAATTTCAGAACATCTGCTCACATCCTGCAGAGAAGATCCTAAATGTTTAGACTGTTAGAAGAGAAGATGTTTCATGGAGGAAACATGAACCTGGAACAACCGTCAAATAAAACATTACCAGATTCCCCACCCCCACCCCCTCCACCCCTCAAAATTTTGTGTAATTTCTTAAGTTCATTATGAGTTTATGTGAGATTTGCGGATCGTTGCGTTCTGGTTGTATTTACATTTTACACGACGGCCCAGTCATTTTCAGGGTGTAAAACAAAAAACAAACTTTAAAACAAAATCCAGTAAACCAAACTGACTGAGAACATGTCAGGGGCTGCTTCAGCATCAGTCTTTGTCATAAAAAAAAAAAAAAAAAAAAATGGACGTTTCTCTTCAAAAGGGTTACATAAAGGAGTTAACAGGAGTCGACTCCTCCTACTCCAGCTCTGAGGGGAGGAGGTGCACGTGGTGGCTGATGGCCTGCTCCATGGAGCTTTTGAAGGCCTTGTAGGTGGATTTGACGGGTAAGAGGAGCGTGTTGGACTCGGGCTTGCTCTGAGGGAAAAGCCCCTCATCGCTCCACTCCTCCGGCTCTTCTGGTCCAGCTCTGGGTGAGGTGGGAGTGTGGAGGAAGGAGATGGAGGGAGGAGGGAAGAGACCGATGGATGGAAGCTTATCGGCTCCGGTGGAGAAGCGAAGGACGTCCATCAGAGAGATGGAGCTTTTTCCAACTGAGGAGAAGGAAGGAGCTGATTAAATTCATGAAGCAAGAGAGGAAGCACGTTTACAAAGGCTGCGTTTTAACGAAGCAAAACGTTTCAGTTTCTTCACTGATATGAAGAGGAATTTTAATAAGCACAAATCAATGAGACATTTTTTTTAAAAACATGTCCAACAATTTGTGCACACGTCTGGAAAATTACAAACGCGTATGGTAATCCAAACAATCTGAGCGAAACAAAACTAAACAAGTGAATAAAAAATAATTCCTACGTGAAGATTTTTACCTTCAAACTAAAAAAAAAAAGGTTCAGGGTCGAAATCGATCGAATCGAAAAGGTTCCAGAGCCAAAAAACGGTTTGTTTTTTGTAGATTCGCTATATCTTGGTTTTTCAAAGTAAGACTGGATATGACACACAATTGGCTGATTGATGGATGAGCCGCATGATCAGCATGGAATTTTTATTTACAGTGAATTACAGTCGTTTATCGCGGGGAATCCGTACCCTGAAGCAGGAAGTTTGTTCTGCAGCTCTAGGCTGCACAAGTGTGCAGCAGGTGCTAAATGATTTTAAATAATTTATTTTAAATAAAAATTCCATGCCGACCGTGTGACTCATCCATCAGTCAGCCAATTGTGTGTCATGTCCAATCTTATTTTTAAAAACCGTGATAGAGCGAGTCTATGATAAACGAACCGCGAAGTAGCGAGGGACTACAGTATTTTAAATTATTTAGCACCTTCTGCACAGGTCGGTGTGCAGCCCACAGCTGCAGGAGAAGCTTCCTGTCATGTGTCACATCTCTGCTCTGCAGAGGAGAAGTGGGCGTGGCCAAGAGCTGAAATCATGACATTCTGTGCTCTTTTAAAGCGTTTAGAGTTTAGAAATATTGTTTAGAATATTACAAGAGTATGGGAGGGGTTTAAAACTCATTTATATACACACACAGATATATATATATATATATACATACATGCTTAAATATTACTACTTACTACTTGTACTACTACTCCTACTTTGCAGTTTTTCACTTATCGTGAGGCTTCAGGGTACGGACCCCCCGTGATAAACAAGGGACTACTGTACACGCTAAACAATAACAATGTAAAATAATACGGTGTACAAAACAGCAGCCAGAACATGAGTCTGTTGTGAGCATATGGGTATGAATATAGCAACTTATGAGTAAGAATAAGCTGCAGTTTTTAAAAGTGAAGACAAACACAAGCAGGTTTATGTGTTTTTACTGATAGGTGGTGACATATTCCTGAAAGACGTAAAACAACCGCAGAAACGTAGGAATCAGAAGGGAATTCAAACGAGCCTTGAATGCAGAACGTTCGTTCCTCGGGAGCTGAAAAATCTGGTTTGTGCACAAACGCAATCTAGTCGGAGCGCATCCCACCATTTATACATTGAAACACTTTCCAAAGTGAAAACTGTTGCTTTTTTAGGCTTAAAAAACTGTATGTAAAAATAAATTTTGGTTCAGTGAGTTTGTACGAGACCAATTTCTCTCTTCAGATGAACTCCCTACCTTCACACTCGAGCAGGAAGTGTCTCCAGAAGGTGACGACGGGCGTCTCCCGCTTCAGTTTGTCCTCCTGCTCGGAGAAGTTGACGGTGAAGAGCGAGCTGAGCGTCTGAGCCGTGACGTGCTCCGCGGTCTGGCAGAAAACGCCGAAGAAGACGGACGGGAAGAGCTGAACCTGGAGCAGATCAGGCTGCTTTAAGTTGTGGTTCGGTTTGGACAAGAAAAAGACAACACGCAGCGGTGTGAAGGTTTTTGTGTCGTTGCAGGAAAAAAGGAGGTTAAAAACACCTGATCAAAGACGCCCAACGTCTGCAGACCCTCCCGAAACCTGCAGGACAAAAACAAACAAACATTATGATACAAACCAGTCTGTTAGCAAAATATCCAATGAACCACTGGACAAGCTTTACTAAAAACCTTAATGTTCATCTACAACTGATTAACATCTGGAGTAAACTAAAGCCAAGATGGCCGCCACAGCTAATTCTCCTGATTCTACGCAAAAAATGGCTACAACATACTAACATTTACAGAGATAAGTTTATGTGGTAGTAGCTGAGAGTCGTCCTCAACACAAGATCAGAGCATTAGCACATTTCCTGAGTGTAGCTGTGGCGGCCATCTTAAAATGACGCTCTGTCATGAAAGGCGGCGGGCGATATGCATCCCTTAAAGAAAACGTTAGATTATTTTACCTCTGCAGGGGGAGCTGCATCCGGGTGATCATGGTGAAGCTGACCAGGTCCTCCACCAGCGCCTCTCGCTCCTCCAGGCTGCTGATTGGTCGGTTGCAGCCGGCCAGCTCCAGGTACTCCCAGCTCTCTGCCGCGGCTTCTTTCAGCTCCTCCACAGACCTGGCCGCCGCAATCTGAAACCATTTACACGAAACCGCTGCATTTAAAATGTCCGTAATGTTGGTGAGGTCATGTGACTCGGTGCTGCGCTCACCCGCCTGACTTGCTGGGTGAAAGTAGTTTCAGACGTCATGTCCCTGACGGTGAGGGGGCAGTTGGCTGGGTAGTTGAACAGACACTGGTAGAGCGCGTGAGAGAAGAACCCAACATGAGGACCGTCGTGGACCAGAGCCAGAGCCAGCAGGCAGCCGACGTCGAAGTACAGGTCGTCACGTAGAGCTGGGGAACGAACAGGTTTTACTCGATTTGACACGCCAACGTTTGTGAAGGAAGACTTGAGGTGTAGGCTTCAGAAAGTCCTCAGATCTTGCTTCAATTAGATTTTCCTCTCATTGTTTTACACTCAGTCAGTACCCATTTTCAAACAAACGTTTACAACACTTTTTAAATTTAATAAATAAATATCACAGTTCACACATTTTTGCATCAACACTGAGATCCCTGCTGAGATGCTTCTACAACAAAATTAGTAGCAAATTAAACTAAATGGACATAAAAGACCCCAGAAGGCCAAACCACAGGGTTAAAGGAACTTCTAACACCATCGCCACAGTGAAGCACGGCGGTGGCAGCATCATGGTGCAGGGTTGTTTTTCAGCAGCTGGGACTGTGAAACTGGTCAGGGCTAAAAGAAAAGCTAAACATCCTGTTCTACAGAACTTATGTCAATGTGAACATTATTTCTGAGCAACACTGTTAAGCAACAAGAGACGGAGAATTCTCTGTGGATGTCCTCGAGTGGACCAGTGGGTTCCCTTGAACGTCTCTGAAAGTGGCTACACCAATCCCCAACTAAACAGACCGAGCTGTAGGGGATTTGAGACGAAGAACAAAGACTCCAAAGACTTTTATAGACAAAAGAAAAAAACAAAGAGCTCTGTGTCCCTTGACCAGACATTGGTTACAGGGGCCCCACCCTGAAGCCAGGCATGGGGGCGGGGCTTGTTAGTGAGTGCCTGGTGACCGGGTGTCTAGGCTCAGCCCGAACGAGAAACATGGGTTTGCCTTCCTGTGGGCCCACCACAACATAAGGGTGTCCATAAGTTCACTTGGCCCTAGGTCGTAGATCGATGATTGACTTCAGTCGTGTCATCTGATTTGCGGCCGTTTGTTTTGGACACTTGAGTGAAGAGAGGAGCTGAGCCGTCAACTGATCACCACCTGGTAGTGAGTTGGATCAGATGCCTGTCAGACCCAATAGACCCAAACGTGTAGTGAGGGTTTGCTGGGAACGCCTGGCAGAAGAACCCATAAGAAAATCTTCAACTCACACCTCCGGGAGAGCTTTAACCGCATCCCAGCTGAGGTGGGGGACATCAAGTCCGAGCGGGCCATGTTCCGCACCTCAGCTGAAGTAGCTGTCTTGAGCTGTGGCCGCAAAGTTGTCGGTGCTTCTCGCGGTGGCCATCCTTGATCTCGTTGGTGGACACCCCGGGTTAAGGAGGCTGTCAAGCTGAAGGGAGTCATTTCTGGCCATTGGCTGGTGGAACTATGGAGGCAGCTGAGGAGTACCGGAGAGCCAAGCGGGCCGCAGCCTTGGCTGTAGCTGAGGCAAAAGCTCAGATGTGGGAGGAGTTCGGTGAGACCTTGGATAAAGAGTCTTGGTCAGCCCTGAGGAGATTCTGGCAAACCATCAGGCGGCTGAGGAGAGGAAAGCAGCTCTTTACCAACACTGTGTTCAGTGAAGGTGGGGTTCTGTTGACCTCAACCAGTGATGTCATCGGAAGGTGGAAGGAATACTTCTCAGATCTTCTCAATCCCACCAGCACATCTTCCATGGAGGAAGCTGAATTGCGGACTTTGGGTTTGTCGGTCCGGCTGAGGTCGCTGATGTAGTTTTGGGATTCTGAGTTTACATTAATGAGGAAAACAGAATTTAAATGACCATAGAATCACAACTGCATAAAGTAAAGAAGGTCTGAATTATTTTGAAGGACGCCCACCGGTCCATTAGACATAATTTATTAATTTACTGGCACATTCTTCACAAACAACTAGGTCTTCCTACCCTGAGAGTTCAGTGTCAGATTTTTTGATCCACTTGGACCCTCAAACACCACAGAATCCTGGATCTGCTGAATGAGAAGTTTCAAGAAGTACTTCTTGGCTGTGTCTTCGTGGCTGCTGGAGAACACAGTGTTCTGCTCATCTTTGAACCTGAACAAAGACGGTGGACACTTGTGAAGAAAAAGATTTAATAAAAAAAACAAACATCCAAACTTGGGTAAATTCTTGCTTTTTCTTGTTCTTGTTAGTTTGTATTCAGACCTGATGGACAGAAGGTGTGTAGGGTCGAAATCAGTCCTCCTGACCAGGTCTAGACCAGCAGACAGAGCTTGGTCCCCATTCACCTCTACCTGAACACTGGTGTGATGGAGTCGAGGAACTAAAGACTGAAGGAGCTCCTCAGGTGATCCAGGTTGAACAGGTGAGCACGCTCTGAAAGAGACAGACCCACTCAAACCCAGTCCTGCAGATGATGGCAGCTGGTCAGAGCGTTGGAGCTGCGTACCTTTTACAGCTGATGGGAGAGTCGAGCGAAGACAGGTGGCGTTTGGACAGGAAACTTCTCCTCTGACCCTCCTGAGGTGAGGTAACCAGGGATGCTGGAGGAGTAAACGACGAAACGGTTAGCTCGTCTTTGCACCAGTTTGTAAAGCAGAGGAGATAAAACTGAGGAGCAGGGAACGGATCGCTCGGACCTTTCCCGTCAGTAGCGTTTGTGCAGTCCGTGCAAGCCCAGTCTGTGGTGTCCACCTGTAGTCCTGAGCACTTTCGGTGAGTCCCTGTGGACCCACACAGGCGACACCGAATCAACTCAAACCAGCTGAAACAAACACAGGAAGAAAAGTGAACCAATTCTTGTTCCTCAACTAGTGAAGCTTTTAAAGACAGCGAGAAGAGGAGCAGTTGGTGTCCTCCACACATCAGCTCAAGGTCAGATTTATTTAAGGTCATGTACGGATCACAACTGAGGGAAATGTTTCAGCACTGAAGGTGTGGCTCTGAAACGTCACAGCTTCTGTCCTTTCAGAGAAGCATTCTTCATCTGATCGCACGTAGTTGTGGCGTCCCACAGGGATCCAATGTATCCATAAGCCATGGAGTCCAAGGAACTGTCTCCATTGACCTCCAAGACAGGATTAAATCGAGGCACAGATCAGAGGAAGGGTCCAGAAATGTTTCTGCACCACAGAAGGTCCCAACAAACAGTGGGACCTTCTGTGGATGGACAAACATTTCTGCACCATGTTTACCACACAGGCCTAATGGGTGGAGAAGTAATGGTTCTTCTAGAAGGTTCTCCTCTCTTCACAGCTGGAGATAAGTCAGAGTGACCCTCAGGGGCTTGGTCACCTCTCTGACTAAGACACAGTTGTTCAATGACGATTCTGACCGGCTGGGTTGAAGAGTCCTGGTGGTTCCAAACTTCTTCCATTTAACAGAGGAAGTGGATCGCTGGGCTCACTGGGACCTTCAGTGGTGCAGAAACATTTCTGGACCCTTCCTCAGATCTGTGCATTGATACAATCCTGTCTTGGAGGTCGAGACACTTCTTTTGACTTCATGGCTTGGTTTGTGCATTGACATACACCGTCAACCATAAAAACTTTGGTTCCAGATCATGTCCAGTCTCCTGAATCCACCACACGTGGACTCACATTTCAGACAGTTTATGGTTTGAACTTTGTAGCCGACAGTAGAGGATCACGTACCCGGTCTTGGCACAGTATGTGCGTCCGTTGTTGCAGAGGCATGTGAGGGAGTCACAGCGCCTGTGCACTTCCAGGAGTTCTGAAAATGCATTTGCCTCCAATTCCCATGATGCATCTCTGCAAAGGAAAAAAAAAAAACCAGGAAATCTGATTTAGGCATAATGAAAGACCTTATTTTATAACAGAAGCATCACCTTGAAAGGATAAGCTCATATTTTAAAATCTAATCTGCAATCCTTTCAGCTGTTCTCTCTTCAGGGGTCACCACAGCGAATTGTCCTCCTCCATCCCTGTCCTCTGTCCTCATTCCAACAATGTCCTCTCTAACTGCATCTAAATCTCTCAGTTTTACAGGCCTTCTTCTTGGTTTAGGCCTTCATCTCACTCTAAGTCTTTCCTCTTTGTCTTTTTATTGAATCTAATCTGCAAATTTTGTTTTAAACTCGGGAGATTGTAACAGTGTAAGTAAAATGATGGTGTTACCTCTCTGGGATGTAAATTCCCATCCTGAGCATCTCCTCCTGGAAGTCTTCTTTGTTGTTACAGAGAGTGCATCTGAAGAAGAAGAGCCCAGCGCTTTGGGCCTGACGCTACAGATACAAAACACAAGCAGGAAGTCAGTGAGAACAATCATTATCTTCAGGGTTTTAATAACAATATTATTATTATTATTATTATGCATAGATGGAGCAGGTTCTGTAATCTTTGCTTTTCTCCCTACAGGTCTAACTGAAAGCGTCAATGAAGGAACCAGTCAAGTAAAATGTGGTTTCATGTCACATGTTCCACCTGCACACAGTCTCTGTGGAACCAGCTGGCATGGCAGGACGGACACTTGAGGATGGAGTAGGACAAAACTGGGTCGATGGAGTCCAAACAGACGGAGCAGGACTGAGGCAGACTGAAGTCGGACCCCACAGTCACAGACTGGGAGGGGCTGTGATCCTCGCAGTAAGACCTGCACACAAATACATCATGATGTGTTTTTGAAGATTTGAAGTGTAACAGAACACGTCCTGCAGTTTAAAGCTTTGAACTCCACATTCTCCAGGTTAGAAGTGAGAACGCCTCTGACGGGAAGAGAAACGTCTTCTACTACTCAACAAAAGTTTAGTCGTTTTGGTTTTAAATTTTAATTTTGGATTTTCCATGCCCTGGATGACTGAGAATCTACACCAGTATTTGTACTTTACTAACCTGAGCAAACAAATATTTCTACTTTTATAAAGGTGCATCAAAGCACTTTATTACTATTTATGTTAAGTTCTTCCATTTCAGTAGCCAGTTTTTATTTGTTAACCCTTCTGTAGCTTGAAAAAATATTTTAGTTACTGTTCTGCTAATGTTATAATTTAGCTACTGTTGCAATTGTAATTTTTAGCTACTATTTTGCTAGTTTTAACTTTCACTTACTGTCCATATTAAGTTTTAGGTACAGTTCTACTAACATGAGCTTTAAATTACTATTTTGCCAATATTAACTTTTAGCTGCCAAAACTTTTAGCTACTTTTATGTTAATTTTATCTTTTATCTCCTGTTTTGCTAGTTTTAGCTTTCATCGAGAGTCCTGTTTATTTTAGGATTATGGGACTGTTTCCAATAATTTTAGTTTTAGCTACTGCAATTTCACCTGTTAGCTACTGTTTTGTTTTATCAAGCTTGTAGCTATTTTTGTGCCAATTTTAGCTTTCACCTACTGTCCTGATGATTATTGGATTCAGGAACTGTTCTGCTAATTTTGCTTTAGCTTCTCAACACCCCCCACCCCACCCCCAGAGGTCAGAGGTCACACCCAAACTCTCATTCACTTCCATTGGATCAGAGCTCAGATTTTTCCTTTCCAAACAGGAAGTGAAGGTTCAGCTTAATTTATCTCCATCAATGAAACATAAAAATTAACATGTCTGCCCATCAAACGCTTCATCGGTGTAAAGTTCAAGAAGTCTTTCAGTACGGCTTTTAGTTTTCACATAGCAATTGTTTGTTTTGAAGTTTACTTTCTGCTGGTCTTATTAAGCGTGCCATCAGGGATTGACAGACACAGGTATGTGGTTACCGTGGTGACCCTAACAGCCACTGGCAGCAGTTTTATTTATTATTTCCTTTGGTATTGTCTCTCTTTACTCCTACAATATAAACATCGAACCTCTGCCATTTTAGATTATTACAAAATAAAAGTGCTGAATTATTGTCAGGCTTTAGATTCAACCAAACTTTCCAGTTTTTCAACATTTAATATTTAAATTGCATTAACATTATGTGAAGCCTGTGCATTGATCTAAAATAAAACCTTTAAATTAGTTTTTTTAAAGACTTTTCTGCTTACAGCTTGTGCACAGTCTGTGCGTGCTCTGAGACCAGACTAGTAGACCACAACTAGTCCGTCTCTGTGCAGACAAGACCGGGGGTCTCAGCATGATAAAGTTAGATAACTAACAGTGTCTTGTTATCAACACTCACGGAAACATTTCGGTAAACTGCGATATGAACTTCTTTTTTCTGCCGCAGGGGAAGTGCACCATCTTCCTGCAGTTTCGGACATAACAGCCGACGCACGCGCCCTTCTTCTTACAGCCGCAGCAGACCTGGACCACACAGACAGGACTGGCTTAGACACGACATTGAAACCCATCCCCACTGCGATATAATAATCATGGCATGCTCCAAATAGGAAATGTATGAATTTAAGATGTGTAGTTGTGTAATCCTGCTGACTGTCCTTGTTTAGCCCTGGTGAAAGAACAAACAGGGCTGTAAAAACAACGAACTCACCAATCGAGCCGACCTTCGGATCTCATGTTTGATGTCCTCGATCAGAAATCCAAAGACGCCCTCGTCTTCCTCTCCTCGCTGGAAAACTCCACACGACGTCAGCTGAGGCAGCAAACAGTCAAGATTCATTTACCCTCTGGTTTATACACAAATTATTTTAATTTAATGTAAAAACACCTGAAGTTTGTGGTTGTTTTGGTCAAACTGAAACAAATCCATCATCTGCAACCATTCAGACAAACAACTAAACTCATCAATACCTGTGGATTCTGATTGGTCATCTAAACGAAGCAGGAGATCAATCACTTCATTGTGCTCTGATTTGATAAAAGTCTGTAACAGTCAGCGGTCCAGTTCAGAACCAACATTTAGTCTAATGAGGTGAATGATCAGCAGGTCAGAGGACTGGAGACAAACAGAGACTCTAGAAGTAAAGATGGACACAGGTTCAGCAGTCTGTCTAAAACTAGAGGAACAACTTCACAGTAAAGTTCCAGAACAAAGACTTTAATCTCCATCATCTCCAGTTCATAATCTGATCCACAGATTAGAAGAATCTGAAAAAAACTGAGCTCAAAGGACGAGGCCCTCAGGGGCCACTGCAGTAAAACCAGGTCTGGTTCTGTTCACACACAGTTCATCCACAGGTGCTGCTTAAAGCTCTATCAGGCAAAGAAGAATCCAGATGTGAACAGAACCAGAACCACTGCCATTTTCTCTGGACCAGAGTTCATTTCAAATGGATTGAGGTGAAGTCCAGAACTGTTCTGTGGTCAAACAGGTCCCAAAGACCACAGACCCTACATCTTCTGCACTAAAGAGAGGGACCATCCAGCCCGGCTCACAGGTCCAACAGTTGCCTCTCTGATGGTATGGGAGTGCATTAGTGTCTCTAACATGTGCAGCTTACACATCTGGAAAGACTCCATCAATGCAGAAAAGTACCATCAGGTTTTAGAACATCCGCTCCATCCAGCAGAGAAGATCCAGAACCAAAGGACAGCTAGAGACCACCATCAGACCAGAACGGGATAACAATCCCTTCAATAACTGGTCTCATCAGATCCTTCTAAACCTCCAACAACTGGTCTCCTCGAGTCCTCCTGAACCTCCAAAAACTGGTCCATCAGGTCCTTCTAAACCTCCAAGAAATGGGCTCCTCAAGTCCTGGTTGTTTACAGACTGCTGTCATCAAAGATGACCCTGGTGGAGCTGGACAAATCTGCCCGTAGGACCACCAGAAGCTGCTCCGAGCTGGGATTCATGGAGAAGGTTTTAGGAAATAGACATTGATTGAACAAACTCTAAGATGGACATTAAAGACATGACCGGTGCAAACCCAGATGAAGAGCTTGCCGGAACATGTAAGAATCCAGATGTTCTGAGGAGGAACAAACCTCCCACAGGCTTACCAAACAGAAGTAGTGGACCGACATCTTGTGCTCCTTGAGTTTGACCATTTCTCCAAATAAGGCTGGATCATCATCACTGAACCTGCACAGAGCACAGCCTGGACACAAAACAGACCATATCCAGTTAACAAAGCCAAGGACCTCCGTTTAGCCTCGCCTCTTCCTCCGACACAGTTGGCAGCGACAAATAAACATCATTCATCGTCTAAAAAATGCCATGAAAAGTTGGACGTTGCACAACAGAACGAGCATTAACGATTTTTACATGATCACAGTTTAGGTTTTACGTCAGCGTCCTTCACTATTTCCTCAGAAGTTCATTGAAGTGCACGTCACTCACAGTTTTCCGTGGGCTCAGCAGCAACCTTCGACCTCCTCATCTTCTTCATGTTGGCGTCAATCAAACACGCTGGAGGACGACAGACACCAACGATTCATTCAAACTCTATTTGTTTTCATTCTCCAATCACGGCACACTTCTTTTACAAGGATGAATCTCTTGGTCAACGGCAGATTTTAATTTATAAAAAATGTTAACCAAGAAGAAAAAAAGGTTTTGTTTTTGTACCATTGAAAAGCCAGAGATAAACTCTGTTAGCTTACTAAAAGGCAGCAATCTTTTATGATACTATGACCAATTTCACCATTTTCAGATAATCCAACTTTGTAGAAGTTACAATTTCTATAGTAAAATTATAAAAACCTAGTTTTTTAGTGAATATTAATAACCTTATTTGACGTTAAATTAAATGTGGAGCTAAATCGGTTATCTTTTTCCATTGCAGGAGAACTGTTTGGCAGTAAACTACCGTCCATAGAGCTGAAACAAGGAGGAAAGGTTTTGGTAAATTTCTGGAAACTTTCCATTGGAATTTATGAGAAATAACTGGAATTTGAGGTAACTTAGATAAACTGCATCATAGGGATATTCAACTGGCAGCTTGTGGGCCACATGCAGCTCGGGTGGCGGGGGAAGCTCAGTACAGCCAACCAATGAGTTTATTTACAAAACTACATTTTAAACCATTAAATTAAATGTATGTCATAACAAAAACTGCTGGACATTCAGCCCGAGCTGTTGGCTTTCAGTAACTGTGACCTTCTGAATGACAAAAATATATATGTAAACATTTTGTTCCGTCATGGGCAGATGGTAAGTTTTTATTTATTAAATAATCTTTATTTAAGCAGGCAAAAACCACTGAGATCCCAGATCTCTTTTTCAAGGTCCTCCAGGGCCTGAAGGCAGCCTAACAGGCATGTTTCTGGACTGTCGGAGGTAGCGGTCAGGCTGATGATTTTTGTACTGTTAATGTCTTATTTCCTTGTCCAGTATGGATGTTTTATGTGTCTACTGACTGTGAAACTAATTGCACCTTGGGGATAATAAAGATTCTTGAACTTGAAACTGAACTACCGGAGAAAACCCATGAGGAGAACAGGGAAACTCCACACGGAAAGACCACAGGCCCAAAAACCGGGGACGGAACCCAAGACCTTCTTGCTGCGAGGCAATATGCTAACCACTAATCCACCGTGTTGCCCAAGTTTAACACAAAGGTTATGAAAGTAAATAATTTAATGAGATAATTTGCATATGATGATGTCACTGTGTCACAACCATTTTGGATCGTAACATTTGGAGAACTTCTTTCAGCTGTTCCTTCTTCATTGGTCTCCACAGAGTCCACCTTCTCTGTCTCACTTTGTCCTCTGTCCAAAAACCTCCATGTCCTCTCTAACTGCATCTATAAATCTCTTTCTTGTCTTTTTCCTGGCAGCTGCATTTAACGTCCTTCTACCGATATACCCAGTGTCCCTCCTCTGGACATGTCCAAACCATCTCAGTTTGGCCTCTCTAACTTTATCTCCCAGTTGTTCAACCTGTGCTGTACCTCTGATGATCTAATTTCTAATCTTATCCATCACTTCTAAGGAGAACCTCAACATCTTCATTTCTGCTACTTCCAGTCCTGTCTCCTGTCCTTTTGTCCATGTCTCTGTCTCCAGACTAAACAACATAGCTGGTCTCACCACTGTCTTGTAAACTTTTCCTTTGCTGACACTCTTTTGTCACAAATCTCTCCTGAAACTTTTCAAGAACAATGGATTTAACCGTTTTAGTGCTTTTTTTTGTTGATGTCATGTTTTTTACGTTATTTATTTTTTTTACACTTATGTACACAACTCTGAACAAAAATATTCATGTTATATGTTGTATTTAGGCAGCACAGTGGCACAGGTGGTAGGGCTGCTGTCTCTCAGCGAGCAGGTCGTCCCCGTTCAAATCCTGGTCCGGGGGCCTTTCTGGGTGGAGTTTGCATGTTCTCTCTGTGAATGCGTGGGTTTTCTCTGAGTACTCATTTTCCTCCCACAGACCAAAAACATGCATATTAGACTGATTGGTAACTCTAAATTGTCCCTAGGTGTGAGTGAGAGCGTAAATGGTTGTTTGTCTCGTGGCCCTGTGATGGACTGGAGACCTGTCCAGGGTGTCCCCCGCCTCTCACACAGTGGCTGTTGAATATGGGCACCAGTGACCCCTGAGACCCGAAAAGGAAGAATAGTAAATGGACTGTACTTATATAGAGCCTTTCTATTTTATCAAGATACTCAAAGTATTTTACACAACAATCTGTGTCCTCATTTACCCATTAATCAGTGCTTTTATCACAATCATACACCTATGGGACACACATCGAAGGCAATGAGGGGTTCAGTGTCTTGCCCAGGGAAGCGGGTAAAGATAATGGATGGCTGGATAGACGATGTATTTATGCTTATCGTAATTGTGTCCAGATAAAAACAAAATGAAAACCATTAAACTACAAAGCTTTGTGCAGATATATTTAAAAATCCATGCTCATGTTTAAAATTTTAGGTTTAATCCTTTTTATTTCTATAAAATCCTGGTAATTACCATGGAAAGCTTCCAACTTGCAACCTCACTGTTAACTAGCAGAATATGTTTTAAATGCACCAAACAAAATTAATTTACACAAGCAACAAATACCTAAATGACATACACAAGGTTTTTTTAGCACAGTTCTGGTGATCAAGATGAATGATAAGAGTTTTTAAAATGGAGAAGTAATAAAATAATTAGTTGTTTTTTTAAGGCCAGACATGTTAATTGTTTTGAAAACCAGACATTAATTTGTAAATCTTTTTGTGTCGGATCATTCGGCGTTTCTTCGGGTAACTTACATGGAGAGCAATAATTAAATAAAACAAAAGATTCAGTTTTATAACTCGATTAAAATCTGCATTATATTAAAATACTGATCATATAAAAAGAAAAAACTAGTACACCGAGTTCCTATTTCAACAAATATAATCGTTAAAACGAACATTTAGCTACGTCTCGCTAAGTGTTTTCAAACGTTGTAAAACGAAATAAAATCTGCATTAAATGCAAAAAAATAAGATAAAATGTTGTTCCAAAAACTTACTTTACGTTCGAAAGAACAGAATGTTAGTTTATTTCCATATTTACGTCCTTTTTGGTGAATTAATTCCGTAAATTCCTTTGTTTACTAACGCCATTAACTTTTAAATTTCCCTCTTTCAAAACAAACGAACATTTCCGGTTCCGGTTCTGTAATTATCTTTTTTTTTTTTTTTTACACCAAAGGGCTACCGATAGCACATTTTTATAAAAGATTCTGAATTTAAGTTTTATAAATGATCAATTATAATATAATAATAATATATAAGGTTGTATTTAATATTGTTTTTTCCGAAAATTTTCTTCTTCTTTGTTGTTAGGGTAGCTTTTGTCCTAAAAGGTACTATAGCGCCCCCTGCTGGATTAAAAAAATGCTGACTTTCTGGGAAAAAATCTTTTTTTTGTCAAAAATCTGCGTAAACATAGGTTTATCTACATTTTCTGAACTCTGTCTTGTGGAAATAAAAACACACATTTAAAACTTTGCAATGATAAAAAGTAATTTAATTAATGGCACTTACGCTTGATTATGTATCCACCGTGATAATTGTTTTTATACCAAGGTAAGAAGGTGTCTTGGTGGTGGCAGGTTGCTCTGGTCAAAGGGTTTAATATTATTTCTGAGGTTTCTGGAGGGATGGCTGTGGGGGTCTCAAGGGCTGACGATTTTTCAGTAGTCTCTGGAAAGGTAGTCGTATAGTAGTCATTTGAGTGGTGGACTAGTAACTGAAGGTTATTGTCGTTGCACTCTTGGTTGCTCTTCATTGTAAACCACAAGATGATCAATGGTGATTTTAGGTTTGATCACACCTTGACTGTCTTGCAAATCAACACTATTGCCACTGATGCCAACGATAAAGTATGGCCCAATGTAGTTTGGATCCAAATTCCCCCCTTTCCTCTGCTGGCTTCTCACATTTAAACACCACACTTTCATCCACACATATTACTTGTGGCTTTCCCTTTTTTTATTAGTTTATTTTTCTGCTTTGGGGGCAATTACAGCCAGAATGGCTTTGTCACATTTCAAAGTGTTGTCAGTGACTTGTTCCAAGATGATGTCCTCAACACTGCTGTCCACTTTTGAAAAGTATTTAGTATTATTTTAAATCACTGTGATTGTTGTATATGAAACAATACACGTTAATGTTTCTTCAGGTCTCGCTTGTAAATGAGTCCCCAAGGTGCAATGGGATTAACCTGTATAAATAAAGGTTGAATTAAAAAATATGTTGGTGACTCAAACCCACCTTGTACTCATCTGGAATTTCACTTGGGTATCTGGCTTCTCTACCAAAAGTTAAAAAGTATGTTGAGTATTTGGTGGTAACTTGTTTCTTTGTTTTTAGGCCAAATAGAACTACATCCAAATGTCTGTCCCAATTTTCTGGTTTGTTTTGCACAAGGTCGCAAAGTGCTCTGAAATTTGAATTGACAAAATGATCTCAACCACACGATGAAAATGTAAAAGCAAGAAAAACAAAGTAAATAAATCCTAATTTTGAAAACTCTGAATGGTAGCATCCATTCTTTCTACCAGACCATTGGTCTGTGGGTGGTACGGGGATAAAATACTTATTTTAATCCCAAGAATGTCACTTACTTCTTTATTGATGTGGTTCAGAAATAAGATGTTAATAAAACATTGCTTTAAATTTTTTTTTTAGAAGCTATGCAACATGTAAATTTTAATTTGTAACACATTATACCATATATGGATTGGATGATCAATGGTCACCATTGAGCCATTCACCATTCACCATTCAGCCGCCCTGATTGGATGGACCATCATGCATCAGGACATTATACCATAATATTTATCTGACTTCTATATTTACATCTCTACGTATGTATTATTATTGTTTAGTGTATATCTTAGATCCTTGTATACTGTTTCTTTGTTATACTTCAAACTATTGCTATTTTGAGTCTAACTGGGACCTTGAGAACATAAGTTTCGTTCCACCTCGTGTACCACATGATGTGAATGAGAATAGTCTCCTTCATGTCATAATAAGATTCTCAAAGGATTTTTTTCTTAGTATCATAAATGTGTCTTAATATTATAATCCAGCTCCTGCTGCTATTAAACGTTGATCATGTGCTGAAATGGTATTTTTTATTTTATTTTATCCCAGATGATGATGACGCTGTTTTGAAGTGACTGTAATCTGGGTGTTGTCGCCCTCTAGTGGCGCAATATGAATACTACAAGTACTTTGTGTGTACACAACTTTTTTATTTTTTCCATAAATGAAAAAAAAAAAAAAAAAAAAACGTTTAAAAACAAATATCTGGATCTGAGTTGTTACTAAGTGTTCCAAACGGTGTGCACTTTTCAAACTGTATCATGTGGCAACTCAAAACATAAATATTTTCAGCTAAACGTCCTCACTTTTCCTGAGGCAACAGGATCGAGCTCCTCCTCCTCCCTGTCCAGTGGGGCGAGCGGTGACGTCACGCAGGGCGGTGCCCGCAGGTAACCACATCATCAGGGGGCCCCCCACAACACAAACAGCTGAGCACAGAGGAGACGCTGTCGAGCAGCAGGAGGAGACAGAGGAGCAGCAGGAGGAGAAGCGCCCCCCCGCGCCGCAGCCGGACCGAAGGGAAGGAAACGTCCAAAGAGGGAAGTTGGAGTCGGAGCAGAGGCAGCATGTTCAGCTGGGTCAAACAGGAGCAGGGTGGCCGCAACAAGGAAGGAGAGATGTACCAGACGGTGACCGAGGGCCTGCACACTCTCTACACCAAGAAGCTGCTGCCGCTGGAGGAGACGTACCTCTTCCATGACTTCCACTCCCCGGCCCTGGAGAGCGCAGACTTCCAGTCCAAACCCATGGTGCTGCTGGTGGGCCAGTACTCCACCGGGAAGACCACCTTCATCAGGTACGGAGCCGCCAGCTGGGTTTATCAACAGGTGGAAGTCTCTCCATCACTAAAGTTTGGAAACATGTGACGTGTTGATTTAGTTGTTACACCCAGAGCTCAGCTGAGGGGATGGTGAAATGTTTTCAGTAGGTAGATGGGTGGATGCAGGGCCGGATGAAGGAGGGTGTGGGTCCCTGGGCCAGACCTACTTTTGGGGCCCTACAGACATTATTTTTCATGCATACAAACACGTTAACTTTAGGTTTCTAGTAAACCGTCAAAGTTTAATCTTTTAAGCTGCTCGGGCCACAACTGGATCCTAACCGTTTCTGTATTTGAACTCAAATGAAATAGTTTAAAAAAAGATAAAAGGTCAGAACATCAGCGAGTCAAATACATAAAAAGCAACACTGCAGGGATCTCAAGGTCACACAGAGCTAGATCAGCTGCAGCTGCACAGCTTTGGATTGAAAAATGTGTTTCAACTTGAGATAAAAACTGCTGACGCATTCATTCCTTTATGAAAACTAGACTGACCATATATGAAGAGCAGCTTCTGCTACACGGACCTTAGAGTGAGGCGAAGACTGAGAGTACACCTGAAACTGAGAGTACACCTGAAACTGAGAGTACACCTGAAACTGAGGCGAAAACTGAGAGTACACCTGAAACTGAGGCGAAGACTGAGAGTACACCTGAAACTGAGAGTACACCTGAAACTGAGAGTACACCTGAAACTGAGAGTACACCTGAAACTGAGGCGAAGACAGAGAGTACACCTGAAACTGAGGCGAAGACCGAGAGTACACCTGAAACTGAGAGTACACCTGAAACTGAGGCGAAGACCGAGAGTACACCTGAAACTGAGAGTACACCTGAAACTGAGGCGAAGAC